AGGTAACTGTCCATCAGGACAGGTAACAAACCATCAGGAGAGGTAACAGACCATTAGGAAAAGTAACTGTCCATTAGGACATGTAAAAGACCATTAGGACAGGTAACTGTCCATCAGGACAGGTAACAAACCATCAGGAGAGATAACAGACCATTAAGACAAGTAACTGTCCATCAGGACAAGTAAAATACCATTAGGACAGGTAACTGTCCATCAGGACAGGTAACAGACCATTAGGACAGGTAACTGTCCATCAGGACAGGTAACAGACCATCAGGACAGGTAACAGACCATCAGGACAGGTAACTTTCTATCAGGACAGGTAACATACTATCGTTGGGACAGGGAACTGTCCATTAGGACAGGTAACAGACCATTAAGACAAGTAACTGTCCATCAGGACAGGTAACAGACCATTAGGACAAGTAACTGTCCATCAGGACAGGTAACAGACCATTAGGACAAGTAACTGTCCATCAGGACAGGTAACAGACCATTAGGACAGGTAACAGACCATCATCAGGACAAGTAACAGACCATCATTAGGACAGGGAACAGTTTTCGTAGGAACTCGATTCTGTTTTCAGGGTAAATGGACTGTACTTATATAGCACTTTTCTATCCATCCAGGACACTCAAAGCTCTTCACACTACAATCTGTGTCCTCATTTACCCATTCACACAGCACTCTATCAGATCTCCTACAAAGCTAACATGTACAATCATCTATGGAGACTAATCAGTGCCAATCACATTCGTACACTGATGGGACACACATCAGAGGCATTAGGGGTGAAGTGTTTTGCCTAAGGACACAACAACTGAAACAGCTGGACAGGGGATCGAACCGGCGACCTTCCAGTTCCAGGACGACTCCCCTAACCACTCTGCCACAGGCGCCCAGGGTGGAGCATGCTTCTTGAATAATGTTACAGGAAACACGGCTCAAGGTCTTGACAGATTTGTGCTTTCTGTTCGTGCTTTTAGTTTTCAGTGATGATAATAATTCAGGATAAAAAAATTTTATTCTGCTGATAATCTGAACTTGAATCAGAATCTTTAAACCAAACCTGCAGTGAATAAAATAAATCTGAATCGATCCTCTTATAAGTTCCTGGTGTCTGTAACAGTACACGTTGTTTTATAAGGTTTTAATAAAGTGTTTCAAGATGTCGATACAGATCAGAAACGCAGCTATCAGGAAATGGTTTACATGAAGAACAACTGAGGTTCTGTCTAAGTGGAAATGGGAATCTAAAGATGGGTCAGACAGGTGTCGGAGCGATTGATTCTCTTTGATCAATACTCATAAAAAATTCATGAACATACTGTGTCTGAAAGCTCACATGAAAACTGACTGTGTGATGTGTTTATCTTCTAATGAAATATACATGTCTACACAGATCTCCACTTTAATCTGATTTGTTTTTATTCCTGTCTGAGCTTCAGCTTGTTCCGGTCCTGCCAGAGATCTGTACTTTGTTCTGTGTTTGTGTGGTTTGTTGAAAAAGCTGAGTAACATTACTTACATGAGAATTCTGTTTCCATCTTAGTTCTTTTTTTTTTGTAGTTGAATTATTCAAAGAGAATACAGTCACCACAACACTATCCTAAGCTCTTTGACCAGAACCAAAGATTTCAACTTGATGATTCTGGTCAAAGTGGGTCTAAATGATCCAGATGTTTGAACCCAATAGAAACTCTGAAGGTTTTCTGGAAACATGTCTAGAGATGATTGGAGTCTGAAAACCTGATCAGAACCACAGACTGAAATACCAGATGAAGGTGTACGGTTGAGTTACCTGTGTAAACAAATCGTCCTGGTGCCCCTTTGCAGAACTGCTTGGACTTGTAGGACAATGTGACCTCAACAACTCCGGGGATGTGTCGAGGCGGAGTCTGGACCCTGATGGCATGCGGTGTGATCAGCTGGAGACATTAGAAACATTAGAAACATTAAAGACACATTTAAAGATCTCAAAAAGATACACCTGTTCTGACAGAACCAACAGAAGTCCAACACCTCCAAGTAGTAAGGTCTACGACAAGCTAAGAAGTGTGAAGACCAAGGTACTCTCCAAACACAAAGTTGTGAAGAAGTACAGATCAGTAATGAACCATAATCATCTCATGGATGTCCTGTAAATTCACTATTAGGAACAAACCTGCCTAGAGAAGCACTTCCAACAAAACATAGACCAGATAAGGAAGACATTAATCAGGGAAACATCTGGGGGGACAAAAATAACCCTGGTGGAGCTAGGAGATGGAGGTCCACTAGAAGCAGCAGTTATATGATGACAAGCTAAAATCACATTCACTAAGAACTCCATCCCTACTGTTATATTGTGAAACATGGTGGTGGCACCAATGGTTTAAAACCAGTTAAAAGATAAAAGGAACAGACCTCAGTCCAGCTGAGGATCCTGATTCTTTTGACAACATTGCCTGAATTGTTTCTACTTTATGATGGTCCAATCCAGTTATCCCAGAGAAGTCAGCATCACCCCTGAACCAGATTAACATCAGATCCAGTAAGGTCAGCACTGCTGTAGACCAGGTTACAATGAGTAAAATTTGTTAATGTAGGTCTGGGTTAACATTCCCCAAAGTGATCCCTGGTCCAGATGGTTCCATCAGCTGTACTGTACAGTATGTGTTGTTCTTTGGGTCCATGTCACTCAGCTTCATTGAGGAGAATCTTTCTTAATGAAACACTGGGCCTCACACAAGAACATGTTCGCATTCTTATCCTAAATTTCTCTTACTTTTGTTCATACGAAGGGTTTGTACGAACAAACCACGTCAGATTCAATAAAATCTTTTATCTTCAGGAAAAGTGTGTAAATGTGCAGTGTAAACTGATGAATGTGTATCAGGTGCTTGTGCATGAGGAGAGGTGATTTGCATGTTTACCGCCCCAAAAACACCAATTAAGGCTAGGTTTCATGCCCCACATACTAGGAAATGTCCATTCATAAATGACATCGCAAAGTAAAAAGAAGAACTTTACGAGTTCAGAGAGTGAAGTCCTGCTCTCAGAGATCCAGAAAAGAAAATCAGTCATTTTAGCAGCGTCAGCTGTGGAATTAAAGGAGCTGCTAAAGCCAAGGAATGAAATGACGACTGTTAATGTTGTGTCTCCTGTGGGTCGTATAAAGTCACAGAAATAAAAATCAAAATCATATTCATCTCTCTCTCGTCCTGCTCTTGTTTTCCTTTGGTCAAATATTTTTAATTTATGTGTAGACAACCTTGTTACATAGCTTTCATTTATTCAGAAGAAAAGCAGTCGCGCACCATTAACACCCCCGCCGCCCCCGCAGGTGGTGTCAGCGCATTTCTGAAAAAAATAATTTTCACATGTCTCCAAACTTCAATTAACTTCATATTAATATTGTGCTATACAATAGCATTTGTAGCCAATTTAATTTAATTTATCCAATTTATATTGTTAGTCTATATTATTACATTTAAAATTATAATTCTAAACCAAACAGAATAGCCTATTTTCAACATAATTATTGAGTGTGATTTATTTTCAACTCAAAAGTATCATAAAACTAATGAAATATAAAGTTATTAGTGAAGAAAATCAGACTGGATAACAGCAGACTGACTGCTCGTAAAATATACGACAGGTCTGGACCCCTCGTGAATTTTGTTCGTATCTGAAAAAAATTCTTAGAATACGAGAAAATTGGTGAATGCCACAAATTCTCCTAAATCACTCGTACACACAACTTAAGAACAAATCTGTTCGTACGAACAGTTCTTGCATGAGGCCCAATGGTTCTAAACGCTTCAATAATTTTTTTCAAACAGATCTGGGGTCGGATTTATAAAACTGGCGTACGCACAATTTAAGCCCAGAAACTTGCGTACGCCACTTTTTACGCTAAGGTTGTGATTTATAAAATCCAAACTTGACGTGA